AAAAAAATATCAAAATATTTATAAATTGTTATTATGTATAGAAAATGCAAATGTAATATAAATAATTGGTGACTAAATATTTTAAGGGTCTAGGGTTATTCGTTTTAGAGTTCTACCAAAAAAAAAAAAAATTGATTTTGTCGAAAAACGGGTTTCCGTGATAATTCTCGTTTTTCCTTAATTTTTTTTTTCCCCAATTATTTTGAAAAGTACTTAAGAATTCCCCTACCTTCAACTTAAAAAAACCAGTACCAACTAGATCCAGTTTGATACCAGAGACCACCCTCAAAGTTGAAAATTGAAGGAATTTTACAGCCCCAAACGGCTAGACTGCCCACACTGACACGAAAAAAAATACACACGATGTAAAATCAATACATTCATCAATATGCTCAGAATCTAACCCAATTGAAAATACTTTTAACTACAACTATTTACATATTAAATGTCGTTATTTAATAATAGATAAAAATAGTTATGATCCTCATATATTATTATATATTCAATAGAAAAGTAATGCTTTTAATTAAAAACACATAAATAAATGATTTTATAGTCATATTTATAGACAAATAATAAATCATCTTTCAAATGCCAAGATCAAAATTCATAAAAAAAGTGTTATACATTTCATTTTTTAATATATATTAGGTAGCTTATAAAAACGAATTTTAATAGTTTCCCTAACAATATTAATATAAGGGTAATATTATAAAATGTTAGAGTATGTAATTTTATTCACCTTAAATATATAAAGGTAATTTAGAATAAATCTTACTATTTTTTTAAAAAAAATGAGTGTTTACATTAAAATATAAATATCTTTACACATAACATTCTTGCATTGTAGATGTAATACTAAATCAGTTGATGACATTACAGTAATATTTCGTTTCAGCAGTTTTATTAGATATCTTTACTACTATTACTTGTACTAGGTACTCGTAATAATAATGATATTATAATTCAAAACAATATATAAATGGTGGGTAATAATTAAATTACAAGTTATTTAAATTAAAACAACATGGTTTTTCAATTGCATACGTCAAACTAAAAAATAATAGTAATATATCAAATACTTTCAATGACATGATTCTGTTTTATGATTCTAAAAAATGTACAATGCATGTCAATAAAATACAATAACTAAATTATACGAAATATAGCTTATAAAATATTCATGATACAATTCTGTTACATGGTTTTACGTGTGTCAAACATTGAACCTAACCAAGCTGTCCGATATTTTACCTACGATAAGTAAATATTTTAGTTTGTACTTTGTATAATATGATATCATTATTAAGTAGTAAATCGATTCGAGGGTTGCAAAATCCAACTGCCAAATATTAAATGCTTGAACATCGTTCTAGGAACACAGAAGTATAATAATTGTCAAGTGATAATAATTATGAACAATAATATCATAAATATAATTTTGTTTAATTAAAAAAAAAAAAAAAATTAAATATGATAAATCATTGTACACAGACTTATACGATATTTTTATTTGTTTGCTTACAGGTGTCTTGGATGAGACGGATAGACTATACCATTTTAACAATAGGAACGAGAAGTTACAGCAGTGACAAAAGGTTTTACGTAGACCACACCAGACATCTAAAGGTGAACCATATATAATTTTAATTTTAGTTTAGTAGAGCTCACGATATAATATTATTCTTGAAGTTGAATAAAAAATAACTATACAAATTATTATTATACTCAAATTACTGCTAAGACAAAATACAATTATAAGATTTGTTTCCTAAATTATATTATATTATACTATATAGGACATAGGTGTATAATATTATATTGCAATGTACGAAAATGTATGGCGAAGTGAAAATGAACCTTTATAACTCAATGACTAAAACTAACACGATAATTCAGTATAAAATGTCGGAGCCATGCGTGGCTAATATCGTTGGGTATATTAGTGAATAAATTATTTCACATGCATAAATACACGTCCGTAACTTTACAGGTACTTGGTTTTTTCCCGTCATTTTGGAACATTTTAACATTTTCTAGACGCCAGTATAAATTGTGAACAATTTCCCGGTACAATTAAAGATAAAGCACTTTTACAATCAACACCCTGAATAGCAGTAAATATGTCAATACACGTAGAGAACTAATAGCACCCACCCCACTTTGGCTCTTTGACAATAGAACTAAAGCCAAATGAGGGAGAAAAAAGGATTAAACGAATCAGTCTAAGTAATCAGTAAGAATAATGACAATAGCACCATTAGAGACTTTAATAAAGTGCAAACTCCACCTTTTGGAGAAAAAAAAAACGTTTAGTTAACTTTATAGTTGAATAGTTTCGTATAATATATAATAGATAGGTACGTACCATTTATGTTTAGTAATGATAACTAAATATTGTCGTGTATATTATTATAATACCCATACCGATTACCAGGCGATCTATTAAGGTATACAATAACTATTTAAAAAAAACAAAATTTTTCTAAAAATATATATTTATACTATTTTAAATTGTTTAATGCGACATGCATTTTTCATTTCTTATTCCAGAGCAGAATATTTTTATTATAGCCCTTCAATATAATAAAATCGTAATTTTGTACGAGTAACTTATAAGAATTATAAGTATTTAAAGTTTATATGAGTGGAGTGGTATGCATTACCTCACAAAACATTTGTCACCCACTCCCCTTATCTAAACTTTGAATACTTGTAAGTTATAACTAATAAATTACTTATCGAAATTTGATCATTGTAGTATTTGGAAATACTAAGAATAATATTCTGCTTAGGAAATGAAAATTGCATGTTGTCATTCAAAAGAGGAACTTAAAAAATGATAACGATATAAATATAAGTACTTTTTTACAAACAATATTGTTTTGTAATGACTCAAAATTATGTGAAAGAAATATTTTCAAAACTCGAGGAAGTAGATGTCGCTGTGCTGTACAGTAGGTTAAAAGTGGGTCAATGTAGAATGGATTGTATTAAACTTGAATTCAATGATATAATATCATTGTATAAGTAAAACGATTTGAACGGAGCTGGTTTGTCAGTATAGATATTTTATATTATTATTATTTATTATTGCCTTTAAGTTGAATTGATATTGTAATATTATTATTTTTAATTCGTTTCTATAGTGATAAACAAAGCATTAGAAATTAAAATCCCGTTTTTAGCTGTTTTTCGTAATTTGTCGTTGGTTTTTCCCATGGCATCAAATAACTATAGAGAAAATCGAAAAATGACGTGTTTAAAGTTCCATCTTGATCCAATTTGCTAAAAGATAAGATACTATAAGTTGAAATCGAAGCACTCCTTCTGGTAGAAATTTTGTATACAGGATAAGAAAAAAATAATAATAATAAAAAATAAACACCATTGTAAAACCACTAGCTTCCTCGCTTCCACTCAGAATCTAAAACATTAAGGTTTTCTGAAACAATGAGTTCTTACGTTAAATGGATCACCTGTATAAATTAATTGGACGAATAATAATATTAATGATTGACATTTTTGAAATATAACAGACGTAAATATTAATGATCAATAAAAGTTTACCTTGCAGGCTAAATAATACCTGCAGTTGTCGAAGCCTTTACTCTCAATAAAAAAAAAAAAAGTTTACCCTACAAACTGTAGAATATTTTGTGGTTTTAAATTTGTATACAAAATTATAATTTTGATATTAAAGTGTAAATTAATAATTTATTACGGATATATTAATATGTGTGTGATAAGTATAAATTATAACATTCGTAAATTATAATATACAACAAAAGCATTTCCATTGAATCGTCTTTTGCGTTAAAAACATGACCGTTTATACTTATTTATATGTGATTTGTACGATAGTTTCTATTAATTATATCTTTTAGTATTACAGTAATTTAACCCAATGACAGATCGAAATTTTTATAATTTATTATATTTTAAGGACATATTAATACATATTTGCGTGACATTATAAACTACATACCTACAGACATACAACAACATACAGTGTAAAAAAATTAGTTTGGCAATGGCATGTTTTGCAACCTGCAGGTGCTCTTGTACAGCACATCATGATGACACTACGAATTTAAGTAGATACGACTATAATGTGTCTACGAATGTAAAATATAAATAATAAAGATTTTTTTTGTTTTTTTTATCGTGTATTTAACTGTTTTAATTATGACACAGTACGACTATAACACTATAAAATCAATATTCAATATACCTAGTATATCTAGTATAGTTAACACATTTCTGTTAAAATATCCTAAAACTATTTCGATTAGAAACAACTCAAATTTCAAATGTCTAATAAATAATACACAATACTATTTACAAAAACTGTCTGTACCTACTTACTATATGACGTATAAAAATGTCCATACAACGTAAAAATTAATTAGACGCCAACTGGATTTCAACAATAGTATTAATTAATTGCATGTCTCCAAGTCAGTATCACTGAAGTACTTCAAGTGAAATTTTCCAATTAAAATTAATAATACAAAAAATAAATAAATATATATAACAACACATTATAAAATATAAAATTGTAGTTACAGCTCTTTAAGATAATAAACTCAGGATACATTTCAAATTAAATAATTATAAGCATCACAGAAATTATATTCTACTGGATTTTAATAAAAGTATACTTAACGAGATTCTTATACAAATTTAGTAGACATTTTTACTTTTGACTAAGATAAGTCCATATAAGTCTAAACAAGATACATATGTGATATATAAGCGTGTAGAGACAGTGTAATAACACACGTTTCGTTATTAAACTGTCTTTTATTACATAACATTTTAGGTTATCTATATTATCATTACAAAATGTTATCATATCATTACATCTCTCCCCTGCTTATGAGTGAGAACTGAAATTTTAATTAAACCTATTAATTTAACAAAATACAAAATAAATTAGTGACAAATGTAACAAATTATTAACTTATGTCTAATAGTAATGTTTATCAGTTTAAAGTTTACACAGTGTAATCTTCAAAATGTTTTGGAGTTCTCTTCAGCCTTTCACCTCTCCTTGGTTCTTCAGTAGTGATTTTTTTGAAGTGTGATGCGTTCCTAGTTACTTGTCCTTGGTCATCTCTTCTCCCAGTGATCATGGTTCCCTTGACTTCAATTATCTCCAGAGGTTCTGGGTTGAATGGTGTTGAGTATTTATTTATTTCCTTTTGTTTAACTAGTACTGTGTCTCCAACTTCTAGTTCATGCTCTGTTGCTGCATGTCTTGCGTCACTGTTTGTTGCACTTATGTTTTTATTCCTTGTATCGTTTTGTCTTATTCTTGTGTCTGTTTCCTCGTCATCATCATTTGTCTCTATGTTTTTCATTTCTGGTAACCAAGTCCTAAATTTTCCTCTGAACATTAGTGATGCTGGTGTTGCCTTTGTGGTGGTATGTGGTGTTGTTCGATATGACATCAGGAACTCATCAATTGCTTCTTCCCATTTCTTTTGAGAAATTATTGATGTTTTGATTGCTTTACCTAATGTTCTCATGAAGCGCTCCACAGTCCCATTCGCTTGTGGCCAACATGGCATTACTTTTCTGTGTTTAATTCCAAATGAATTTAGAAATTGACTAAACAATGTCCCATTCATTGGTGGTCCGTTGTCTGTTTTTATGCACTCAGGTAAACCAAATTCCATGAACATTTTTTTTAACTCATAGACTACTGTTTCAGTCTTTAAATTATTGATTATTCTTACAATTGGATACCTAGAATATTCATCTATTATAACAAGTGTATATTTACCGTTGGGAAATGGTCCACCAAAGTCTAGATCCAAATTTTCCCATGGTCCTGGCGGTAACTCTGAACTCATAATCGGATTTGTACTTGTTTTTGGTGTAGCTGCTTGACATGGAATGCATGTGTTCGTTTCTGCTGTTACCATTTTATTCATGTTTGGAAACCATACTTTGCTCCTTAACAATGATTTTGTTTTTTCAATACCTTGGTGTCCCGTATGTGCCAATTTAACTACTTTCTTTCTTAACGTTTTGGGTATTACTATTTTGTTCTGCTTTAATAATAGTCCATCACTTGTAATTGCCAGCTCATCTTTGAATGGTCTATATTCTGATTCTAGCAAAGTTTTCTCCAATAGTGCTTTTTTTGCTTTTGTGATCTCCTCGTCATTGTTCGAATGTTCTGCTACTTCTTTTCTTGTCATTGTTTTTGGTATTGCTAGTTCTGCTATTGTATTCACATGTTCTTCCACTTCACTATCCCAGTCGTTGTTCTTCATATTATTAATTATTGGATGTCTTGACATGAAATCTGATGGATTTGTGTTACCTTTCGTATGTACTACTTTGAAGTTGTATCCTTGTAGCTTTAATCTGAATCGTTCCAACCTTACAGATGTCTCTTTTGTTTGACTGCTTAGGATTGAGACTAACGGTTTGTTATCTGTTTTTAGTATAAAATTGGAACCCAATAAATACAATTTGAAATGTTGAACCGCCCATACTGCAGCTAACATTTCCTTTTCTATCTGTGAGTATCTTTTTTCAACTTGGTTTAGTGCCTTACTTGCACAAGCAATTATCTTATTCGGTGATTGTGCCAAAATGGCAGCAATGCCTTCTGGTCCTGCGTCAACAATTAATTCAGTTTGTTTATGTATGTCATAGTAAGCGTTACTTACATTTTTTACAATACTTTCTTTTAACTCTTCAAATGCTGTTTGTTCTGTGGTGCTCCATGACCATTTTCTGTTTGCTGTAATTAGATTTCTTAATGGTTTTGTTTTCTCTGCTAGGTTTGGAATAAATCTTCCACAGTAGTTTATCATGCCTAGTACACTTCTTACCTCAGACACATTTGATGGTGGCTTGAGTTGTATAAATGCTTCGATTTTTTTTTTATCTATCTCGACGCCCTGTTCACTAAACTGGTACCCAAAGAATATGAGCTTCTTGACACTGAATAAACATTTTTCATAATTTAATGTCAGTCCTTTTTCCTGTAACCGACTAAGTACTTTTTCCAAGATATTGTCGTGTTCATCTTGAGATTTGGCATATATCAGTATGTCATCGCTAACGTTCATTACATTGGGAATATTTACAAGTACCTGTCTGATTTCGTCTTGGAAAACTTCTGCCGCACTGTTAATTCCAAAGTTCAGTCTTTTGTATCGTCTTAAGCCAACATGGGTGCTAAATGTAGTAATAGACCTTGAAGCACACTCTAACTCTAACTGGTGGTATCCTTCATTGAGATCTAATTTTGAAAATACTTTCGACCCATAAACAGCACTTATTATATCGTCAATAGTTGGGGTCACGTGACGCACTCTTTCGATGGCTGCGTTTGGTCTTCTCATATCAACACAAAGTCTTACTTCTCCATTTTTTTTAGGAACTAAGACTATGGGAGAGACCCAGGGTGTTGGTCCATCCACTTTTTCAATTATGTCTAATTTTTCAAGTCTTAGTAGTTCATTTTCTAGTTGATTTCTCAAATGTATTGGAATCCTTCTATGTTGTTGTGCAACTGGCTTGATAACTTCGTTGATGTGCAGTTGAACCTGTTTTCCTTTTAACTTGCCAATCCCATTAAACAGATTTGGGTATTTACTTTTGTATTGAAAAGTTTTTGACGTTATTTCATTTATATTTAATCCAATTTTTAAGAGTCCCAACTTTACTGAAGTTTCATACCCTAGTAATGATTGGTTATTACCTTTTACCACAAATATGTCCACTATTTCTTCACGGTCTGACACCTTGATGGTTGTTCTTACTTTTTCTATAACTTCAAGTGGTTTCTTGCTAGAGTATGCATATAACTTTTGAGATACTTCACTTTCTTTTTTTTCATAATTGATTTTATTTCTTTTCCAGGTTTGTTCTGATACTATATTACAACTTGATCCTGAATCAATTAAGAATTTAACATCTGTGCCACCAACTTTGCATATTACCAAATTTGTCACCAAATCTTTTTTTTTTGATATTTGGAACACTATAGCTTCATCGTCACTTTTTGCTTCTTCGACTGCATTTATTTTATTACTCCTCGACATTTGCTGTGAATATCTTTTACCTGGCTCTTTTGTATTTGCAGGTAACTTTGTTCTGCAGTACGCTTTAAAATGCCCGATTAAACCACAACGCCCACATTTTTTGTCTTTCGCCGGACAACTAGGATCATTTTTTAAGTGATTTTCGTTCCCGCATCTGTAGCATGCCTTACTTCTGGTTTTCAACTTTTCCATTTTATACTGCTTTTTTTTTTCATACTTTGTAACTTTATTTACCATTTCTTTTCCGTTTTTTCCAAGTGTATCTGCTTGTTGCACTACTAACTCGAACCGCTTGGCCTCTTCTATGATTTCTGACAAGCTCAAGTTATTTTTCTCGAGTAACTTCCGTCTAAGTTCGTCAGATGTACAATGTTCTATAATTTGATCACACATCTCTGTGTCAGCATCAGCAAAACCACATTTAGCTACTTGTTGTCTTAGCTTTGATATAAACTGTCCGACTGACTCATTAACTTCTTGTCTTATTTTCCTGAAAACATGTCTTTCAAATACTGGATTTACCTTTGGTATAAAGTGCTGATCTAACAAATTTATTGTGTGTTGAAATACCGTTGTTCCATCAGGTGGATTACCATGCTCTGGTATTCCAAAAAAAATATCTTGTAGCTCTTGTCCACCTCTGTGCAGTATGATAGCTTGCTTTTGTGTATCCTTAGTTATATTTTGAGACAAAATAAATATCATTATAGATCTCTTCCATTTTTCCCAATTGGAAGGTTCAAAAGGTAGTATGTAGTCTTTATCCTGTTCCATCGCGTTTTCCGTTTAACGCAAACACAACTTATCCCGTTGACCGATTTAACACAAATACTCACTAACTCACTTTTGTCTATTTGCTCATGAAACTAGGCTACTTTTTCTACGAATTATACAAATTACAAGTCACATTTTCGTTTTTTTTCCGACTGCGCCATTGTAATAACACACGTTTCGTTATTAAACTGTCTTTTATTACATAACATTTTAGGTTATCTATATTATCATTACAAAATGTTATCATATCATTACAGACAGTAAGTTCTAAAGTATTTTTGCAGAATTTTACTATCGAGGCCAAAAGAATTATTGTTTTTAGATTCTGAGTAGAGCGATGAATGCGTGTTGATTTTACAATGATGTGTGTTTTTTTATTTTTCTGTCTGAAGACATCTATTCTACTAGAAAATATGCTCTGATGGTCAACTTTTATGGAGCAAATTGGATCTACTTAGAACTTTTAGGAGGTGGAAAATTCTCAGTACTTTTTTTTTAAAAAAAAGGGGGTGGATAAATACCCATATTAGTTAAAGTTTTTATATTATAATTAAAATAATATTGCTAAGTTATCCTGCAGGTTATCAAAAAGTTACATCATCATCGCACAGTCTTACAATGAGTTATTATTGAATTCAAATTTAACAAAAAATCCATTACATTTCCTACTCAATGACGAGGTACACTCAACCAATACTATACAGGATAGCGGTTACCTACTTTCACCCTTTTTTTTAATAAACAAAATGTTCCTTAGCAATATCAATAACTATAATAAACAATATATGTAAACATCTTAAACTTACACTTTAAAATATCAAAATAACCTTTGTTTAATGTTATATTCAAGTAAACAAAAAAACATACCATAAATTATTTAAGTTTGACATTTCAGAAAATGAATTAATCACGTAATATAATGTAAAATTAATTAATTTTATATAAAACTATTCTTAAACAATATATTTTCATCTTATACCTATTATTGACTACTAGGCACTTGCTGTTCTATATCAGAGTAGTTGATACATTTAAATTAGTTTGCTTCATTATAAAATTTACATAGACATTTAAATAAAAAAAAAATAAAAGTAAACGTTAAAATGTTAATTTCATGATACCATGAAAGAATAGGTAAAACTCATTGTTGCTGTTTTATTACTTTAATGCCACAATATGCTAAATTCGATTTATCATAATTTTTAAATTTAAACTAATTGATTTAAATATATAAATTGTATGCTGAATAAGGATAATAGGGTAGGTAAGTACCAAACTTAAAAAAAGATACCTTTTTAAAAACTGCAATAAATGGTCAAACAAAAGACAAAATTAAAATAACGTTCAAAAATATAATAACGTTTGAATGTGCTTTAACGTTCAACATTAAAATTGTAAGAGGTTTAAATAACCAAAACGTAAAAAATATGAATATTTTTTTTAATTCAACCAAACATAATATTGACAAATTATTGTTATTGATTTAATATTTAAGGCTTTCATAAACGAATAAAAACATTGTTAGGAAATGTGTTTAAATTATGTTTTATTTGAATATTTTATAATTTTAATTGTTGTATACTTATACATTAAAAAATGATTAAAATATGACATAATCAGCTTAATTCGACTTAATTTAAAATAATATAATATTAAAACCAACTATGCAATTATTATAGGTATCCATATTATACTTATCAGCTGATCAAATGCCAATGTTTTAAATCAATAAAAAAAAGGTTATTATAATTAATATAATATAGTGGATATTTTTAGTACACCGTTATGTATACTATGTAAAATAGGTTCATTGTTGAATTTTTTTTCCATTAAAATTAATTATTATTCAAGATTATAATCTATATTTTTATAGCCTTCCATCCAAACGCAAAAAAATTTTAAATAATCAATTACTTTTTGGTTATTTAATTTATAACATTATACGTATAATTTTTACTCAAGAGGACGTAACACCCACACGTGTTATTATCTCCGTCTTACAAAATATGTACAACATAGCAACAACTCTTTTGCGCAGGACAACTTTTATCTTTCTGTGTTTTGCAATAGTGTCTCCAAAAAAAAAAGCTGTTGCACAGATGAAGTTCTTCTTTACGTGTTGTGAAAATTTGGTAGTTCTACAACAAATATGGTACGAGAAAAGTTGTCAAAACACTGTTTGCTATGTTGTACATTTGTAAGACGGAGACAACACATGCGGGTGTGACGTCCTCTTAATATAAGTACTAGCTGTAATATACAATTTAAATAAATGGGTAAGTGGATGTCGCTCCGCTGTACAGTAGGTTACAAGTGGGTCAATGTGTAATGGATTCCATTAAACTTGAATTCAATGATATAATATCATTGTATAAGAAAAACGATTCTGTTTATGAGACTGTTTATCAGTCTGGATTTTTTAATTTTTAATTTTTCATTATTATAGCCTTTAAGTTGAATTAATATTATATTATTATAAATTTTTATTCGTTTCTATGGTGATGGACAAAGTGTTAGAAATTAAAATCCAATTTTTAGCGGTTTTTCGTAATTTGTCGGTGGTTTTTCCTGTGGCATTAAATAACTATTAAAAAAATCGAAAAATGACCTCTCTAAAGTACAATCTTGATCCAATTTTCTAAAAGAAAAGGTACTATATGTTGAAATCGAAGCGCTCCTTTTGGTAGAAATTTTGTATTCATAAAAAAAAACCCCATTGTAAAGCCTCTCTCCGCTCAAAATCTGAAATTGGAACTAAGAAAATGATATAATATTATGGATTGTATAGTCGATTTAACATTCGTTATATCAGTATATTATTATACATAATTTGATTCTCGATTAAAAAGCTAAAATAAATTATTCAATTATTATTATTCTTGAATTTATTTATGTTTTATAATTTTCATATGGTTGACGTAGTACAATAATAAATTAAGCTAGAATTGTTTGAATGAATGTTGTATGGTATTGGTATACATAGTTTGTATATTGTATATATTTATATATAACTAATAAATTATAATATCATATCCCCTTTATATACGTCCATAACAATAAATATATTTTTTAGTTTAAAAACAATAAATTACTTCTACTTCTTTATACAGGGTGGAAAAACGATGATTTGTACATATACATATATAGTATTTGTGCTAAGTTCGCCACCCAAAATACTATAACTGTTTATTTATTTTTTATCGTACTGTAACGGCCGACCTCATGAAATTAGTTTTTAGTTAGTATAAAATTAAATTATTAGTTCTTAAAACAAATAAATATCCGAACAGAGTTCTATGTGCTCAATTATTTCTAATAAAATTATATATATAGATACAGTAACACACTGTATATGAATACTTTAATAGTTGAATGACATAGAATTTACTGTATGACAGCATGAGTATAAACGAGTTAAGAAGTTAAAGTTAACTTAACTTTTTAAAATTTAATTTTTAACTTGACTGATTTGTATTGATATAAACTTAATAAATAAATAATATATTTAATACAATTATTATTGATGATTCATATTGCATAAATATTTACTTAATATTATTTTAATCCATATTAGTGGCTAAAAAAATATTATAAGAGTTGTAAGTTTCCATATAACTTAACTTAAATTAGTTAAAAAAAAATCAGGATAACTATTTAACTTTAAACTTTTTAAAATGTTTACTATCTAACTTAACTCAATTAAAAACTAATATCATTAACTTGCCCAGGCTTGATGTATGCTAGTAATACCATAAATATAAAAGTCGTCTGCATTAACATGTACATATACTGTTCCTGAACATTTTACTGTTAATACATTTTTTGGATAACATCTCTTTGGATTGTTCTTTGGATCTTAACTTCAATATTATGTATTTAAATTTAGTAGACATTTAATGACAGTTTGGTATGTTTCATTTTAATTCATTCATAATATGATAAACACTAAGCTAATGTGTGAGAGTTACGTTAAAGGAATTTCCATGTATAGTTCTAAATTACTAGTAAGTAACATGGCGTTCATTGTAAATATAACGTATGTTTAGAAGTATTTTTTATTTTTTTATTTGTGTGTTCTCGTTGTTCTTTTATGGCTTTTTAAGTATTAATTGAAGTAAAATTATAATAATTGTACTAATGATTTTATAAAGGAGGGACTGTAAAACAAATGCACATTATTATTATAATATTTTAATTTGAATAAAAAATATTCCATGGAAATGTTTAGCCAATAATCAGTAAAACTTTTAAAAAAACAAAAACAAAAAAGGAATTAAATAAAAATTTAATTTTGGTCACCAAAATTAATTTCTGAAAAAATGCAAATAATCAATATTCAACACAACTTTTTTATATCTTCTACTTAATTTAATCTTAAACCATTCAAGTTTTTCTTTTAAAATCAATATTCTACTTTCAAAGAAAATTAAATTACTATAAGATACAGCTATTTTTGATACTTAAGTATTGTTATTGAACCTAATTTTTGAAAAAAAAAATGTATAACTTAAGGGTACTGACCTCCAGGTAATTGGATAACTGCTATAGATTGGGTTCGTTTATATGTGTTGTTATACTAAATCCGAAAGGTCCGATGTGTTGGACACACTTATCGCTTAGCTAACCTTTAAACATCAATTTGATGTATTATTATTAATATTTGAAATTTGAAAGCTTTTTATTGTGTTTGATAGTAATATAAAGGTTAATACTTAATACATTGTCTAAAATTCACGTACCATCGTTTTTAGTTATTATCAGAATGAATTTTTAAAACAGCTTTCTATTCAATTTCTAATCAATTGATTTAGCCACAATAATATTTTATAACGTGCTTTTAGTGCTACAAAATATGTTTCAGGAGGAATAAAAACATTATTGTAAAACCTATTGGTTCCTCAAGCTCAGAAACTCCCAAAAAAACATTTTACAATAAAAATAAATATATTTTTTTTACATTTTCTCCATATGGACAGTTATCCATTTTATTGTTTCGAAGAAAATTAATTTGATTTCGTCCATGAACTTTAAACACAAAAACAATATCTGAATATTATTTTTTAGTTAGTAATTTACCTTAAATAAAAAAATACCACAAATTAAAAAAATATTTTTACACTTCCGTATATTTGTGTATAAGTGAAAAATTTAAACAAGAATATTGTAAACTAGGTCACTGAATATTTGATCACACCTATATCTTCGTAATATTAATTATTGTATTAATCATAACCTAAGTCGGTAATCGGTATCAATGTATCATAATAATATGATGAATACGAATATTGTATTATTGATGTCTGAAATATGTTAATAATCCTTCAATCTCTCAGTATTGAATTTCATAACTTAAAATTCATTGAAACTAATTACAAAATGAACCTTCCATTAATATTAATGCAATTTCAAGTCAGTATACTTGTGTTATGAATATTTAATTATTCAAATAAAAATATTTTTAGCAATAATATTGTCACTGAATAATTCGTGTCATATAATATATAATATATTATAGTTTTTATACTCGAACTATTGCATCTGTCGTTGTTATTACCTTATAGAATAATATATAATTTATTACCTAATGCTAATCAATAGTATTCGAATTTGTTTTGATATGAAAGAGCTAAAACTGTGTTATACCTACCTTATAATTAAATGCAATTTGATTCAATTTTTCAGACTTGGAATTTAGAAATAACACCAGTGGAAGCAACAGACGCGGGTTTATACGAATGCCGTATAGCTACACATCCAACTACCAGCAATTTTGTACATTTAAAAGTCACAGGTTAGTAAGTTGTAGTTTTAAAGTTTAGTGTATACCGGCGAGGAATGTTTAAAGGATTTAAAATAACTTATCGTATTACGGTTTATATGTATAAAACACACCCTTATTTATAATAATTAATATCAACGATGCTTCAAGACGAAATTAAATCATTGTTATGTTCAGATTCAGATGTCGGTAATTTCGAACGAGTCTGGCTTAAATTTGTCGACTGTTTTTTATGTTTGAGCCAACTATTTCATCTATTTAAAATGACTACTACAAAAAAAAAAAAAAAAAAAAAACATGGACGACTTTTCCCGAGTTTGCGTTGACATTGATGGATAATATGCAATTCTCCGGAGATCGCGCTAAAGGCGTGTCATTCTATCATATTTTAAGACGAGAGTAAAATATATGTATGACGAAACATATAATAATATTGTATCATAATATTATATGCCTAGCATGGCGGTTCACTCCATCTTTTACTCACATACACACATAAGCTGCACAATATATTGATCCAAATGTCATGATATTTTACAGTGCATACATTGATTCATAGGTTAATTTAGAACTATTGTGCACTTTTACGAATTAAGCTATTGAAGCGTGCTCTCATTCAATTTTCACGATAAAATGTCTGTCTATAAACCTTTATTTTATGTTCAAACATTTCGCGAGATTACGTTTCTTTACCAGTAAACCAAGTGGCCGCATCGGAAAATACCTGCACGACGATAGAGTTCAAAAACAAATATTACACATGCACGTATATATATAGGTAGTCTTTTGAATAATAGATAATAACCCACGATAGCCTATAATATAACCTGATAGTTTATCCAAAACAAAAGTAAAAATTATTTGAGCAAAACACAAAATGTACTGGATCATAATTCATAGGTAAGTACCTAAATTACCTACGCATTGATATTCTGAATTTCAATTGTGCCAGGAAATGAGGAATTTATTTTCAATCAATCTATTAGATTGGCATACACACATTTTAAGAGCTATCCAAATAATATAACACGACGTATTATATTTACAAAATACGACTGAATACCCCCTAAATGTTAAATTTGGTGTAATAACAATTTTAACAAGTGGCTGCCTTGTGTATATTAATATTATGTACCTTATATTACACATTAAACTCTCAATAATATTGATCTCCGAATTTTAGTTATACTTACCAATTTCGTCTCGAGTTTTATAATACTCAACATTTGTTGAGATTATATTTTATTTATCTATATCTAGAGAATTTCCCATGCCAGAAACTCTTGTAAAAACTTTTCATACATGCCATATGATGCTCAGACTAGTTCATAAAACTACCGAGTGCTTGTATGATGAAAAGGTGTTCGTGGCAAGATCAGTGAAATTAGTAGGGCAGACAACTTGTTAAGGACTATATAATCATTAGTACACAGAATTTAATTACTCAGAAACTACTCGTTTGAGTTTAGATTTAGATGCTTCAATATTTTCCAAAAAATCATTCGCTTAGTAATTTACAGACGAAAAGGGTGGTACGTATTTTCAGGATAACCCTTATCCAACACTTTTGTATACGAAATCTATGTACAAAATATATGGTCAGCAAGTAGATTTGAAAATTCTAAAAATCACAATTTGAATATACGCCATTGTTAAAAGATCAAAGGGCGAGTGAAGCGCATGCTGGATCACTATAATACAAAGACGTATGAGACGTATGAGACGTATGAGAGCATACGAGGTTGTCTTTTCGAACCCTGCATTCTCGAATGCCCAAATGAAATTCTACGCCACCCGAGCGTTTTGAATTTTTTTTTTTTTTTCATTTTCTATAACCTAACCCTTTAGAGGCCAGAGCGGAAATCCTCGGTTCACCGGACCTGTACATCATGAGCGGCAGCAGCTTAAGACTGGTGTGCCGGCTTCAGGGGTCAACACAAGCCCCGCTGTTCGTGTTCTGGTATCATTCCGATCGGATGATCAATTTCGACACGGATCGGGGCCTGGTCGTGCACATCAACAGCACGGAAAGCGACCTGATTATGCCGTACACGAACACGTCGGACAGCGGCAATTACACATGTCAACCGCAAAACATATCGCCGGCCACGATACACGTGCACGTGCTCCAATGTTAGTATAATGATAATAATAATATCGTAATAATAATTTAGTAAGTAAACGTATAGTAAACGTATGAGTATAACTATGGCTCAGTGAAGCAAGTCCGACGTAAATATCAGGGGGAGTATCGATTGCCTCGGGGTTACACGAGTAGGCCGTGCTCCTTTTGGGGGGAGTCGAGCCTTGGTTTCTTTCTTTCTTTTTTTTTTTATATGAAATTGTCAAATTAGCATTAAATAAATTCAAAACGATCGTTATGCTGTTATGAGAAAAAAAACTCAAGAACTCGCTCTATTAATCTGGAGCCCCTCCCAAACATTCAATTTATTTTACAGTTTTTCGAATCAAGTTTTCAATATTTAATTACAAACACTGAGAATGGACTTCGTATAATATGTCATTGTCATAACAAATATGATAAATTATTTTAATGAGACATCTTAACAACAAATTGTTCGTAAAATATACGAAACTATTTTTACTTCCGTTAAACAATTTTACTCAATTTTTTACTTGTGTGATATTGACACATTCACAGAATACATGTATTAGTTTTATCAGTTTTTCTTGATTTCAAATGATAATTATTATACTTAACATATCAGTTACCAAATAGTTAATATTTTATCATAATATAGGTATTTGTATTATTTTATTAATATTATTGTATTGTCGTTTTAATCGTATTTTAAGTAATAAATTAATTATCTAGTATATTTTTCATTACCAAATAATACACTGAGCCCTATGCAGTTCTATAGAATTCAGTGAAATAATCATACAAAATCAACAGTAATTAAATTTCATTGGAACCAATTAAAGGGGAGTGAGATTTTGTTCACATTATTTAATTCTTATTATAAATAGGGACAATCGTTTGTATATTAGTCTTAAAATGGATTGGTTTATTGTCGTATTTCCGTTTTTTACATTCAGGACATGTTTTAGTGTAACGCAAAAAGCTATACTTATATACAACTTTAGAAATATCTAGTAAGAATTTTTTGGCGCGGAAATATCCAGTTGATCCAATGGATCAGCTACGTTCAATTTTCAGCTCGACCGAATAGCGATAACTAGCAAACTCCGATTACACGGTTTATCTATTACTGTGTTTTCAAAATCCTCGCCAAGTAATTCTTGTCTTGCAATTTAATTTAATTTAAGTAGAAATGATCATGTCTGAATTTAAGCGTCTATCACGTAATTTTTTTTTTTTTAAGACACCTTATTTCGAAAGAAAAACCAATATTTTATTTTTATATTTAAATTAATATCGAAAGATTACTGGGCCTCACTGAGGAAAACTCGTATAGTAGGTACCTATTATAATATTCAAATCAATAATAATATTATGTTGACCCCAATTTTAATATTATGTACCTAATAGGTATATTCAAAACAATGCTCCTTTAAACCATATTAACTACAATTAAAATCTCAATATACGCAATTTGATGTTTTATCAATGTCATGTGCATTTGTAATTTATTATTAATTGAGTATATACTATTACCTATATATTTAATAAAAACTCTAAGTCATGTTTTCTATTCCTGGAAATATAATATCTAAATTTAGATTCTGAATAAATAAGTGTATGAAGTTTGTGAAATACCTACTTAAATAGTTAAACAAAAAAATGTAGTAAGAATTAACTAGTTCAGTTTATTATAAGAAGCAAATTAAATGAATATAATAATATAATAAAACTAAATAAATTAAAAATTCATCGGTTTTACCCATATTCGTAAAACAGAATTCATCAATCAGCTTTTTTTTTATAAAAACATACTTTATACTATGTCATACATAAAATATAATAATAATAAAATTGAATTGAATAAGGTTAAAGACCGCTGGTTTTATTGAATATATAATATTACCGTGAATTTCGGGAATACAAATATTTATTCCTGTAATTTTTATATTTAAATGATCCAGTTTTAACATTTTATTTTTTTTCTCTACGAGTACAATTTTAGCTGTCAACACATTTTTTTGAATTTAACTGTATTTTGATTTATATTAATTTATGATCTGTGTAATTCAAATTTCACTGAAAATAATCGATTTATGTGAAACAGTAAGACGTACACTATTTATCTAATACAGTTTAATTTATACGTGAATACTTAATTTACAAATTAAACTACGGTTTGATGAAAACTATTATGAATTTGAATAAGTTTGATTTTGTGTAATTTTAGTATTACCAAATGTATATTATGCATCTGATCATGACTGGTTATTACATCAAAATTTAAATCAGGTACCATAAACATGTGTCGAAAAATTACAATAATGCTAAAACATATTAGAGTCATACTTTTATTAAGAATGAAATAATACAGATAGTTTTTATCAATGCGTTTCCTTCATATTTTATACTAAATTAATGTTAAAACAATGTCGCATTCAATGCAAAATGTATATAGCTACTACGTACCTAATATCAAAACATCAAAATTCATAATATTATAACATACATTTTGATAATTTATTCATACACTAAATTTGCATAGGTACACAATTATTATGTTGTAATCAATTAATTTTATTTAGTCAGGTGTTATGCGACATACGTTTTAACGAGTAACAAATAAAACACAAATTAACTTAGGTACGAATTATAAAACTTATAATTGTGTATATTTTTTAATGAAAAAACTTACATTCAAAACGTGTGTGAAATATTTAAATATGTCGATCAATCATGACGTGTTGATTTGATTGATATATTATTAAAAATGTTTAGGTACTTGCAGGTATAGTGGTATCATAATATGTTGTATTTTCTTGGTATAGAAAAAATGATCTCTTAAATAGTATCTGATAATTTAATACTATTTGTCAATATTTAAATCGTTATGATTATAAAATTGCATAGATATAAATAAGCTTATAGATTTGTTTTAGAGAAATATTTAATGTGAAATAATGTGTTAGATATCAAATCTATACATCAAATTATAAGGTCGTAAAAATAATTAATTTTATTCGTGCACTAATGAAATTTTACTGTCGTTTGTCGGTAAAAAAAAAAAAAAAAAAAAAACAATAATTATACACTGTGCGGAAAAATGGTTGATTTAAAAAAATAATGGAGCGATTTAGTGACCAAATTGCATGTTGGGCTAAAATTAGGTTTAAACGAATTAAGAGAGGTGTCGAACAGTACATTATAATATACGACGCGTACACTCATAAACATTGTTCTACACTTTTACTCGAAATTATAATAATATGTAATAATAAAATGCAATATTTTCGCATTTTAATGTGTATAATATTGTATTATAATGTTACACACTTTTCCTTTTTTTTTTGTGTTTTATTAGCTGAAGTACCGGCGGCCATGCAACACGGGGTCCGTAGCTCGACTTCGGGGTCATTCGCCATCTCCAATTGTGCTATGTTTACAATAATCTATATGCTTTTGCAAATGTTAAGCTAAAATGGACTGGACATTTGTGGGTCCTTACCATTTATATTTATATAAATATTATATATTATAATTTTCCATCATACTAATAATAATTATACACTATGTCTTCAATGTAAATAGGTAATATAATATAATGATTACGATATATTATAAGTTATGATAATATTATAATGACATCACTATCATATTATATTGATCGATGTGTATAAATCTATAATCAAACAAATACAGTAAAAAAAAAAAGGAAATATTTATTATCAGTTTGTTTGCGTAAGTTTTTCAACATTTTATTTTGTACAGGCAAGTGTGAAATTTAGCTTTTTAAAATGTTTAAATTATACCGTTCGTGTTATTAAATGTGAAATAATTAATAATATTTATGTTAATTGAAGTTTTGTGAACTATTCGTTTCAATAAACCCCGAAATAATGTTTATTAAATTTTAACTAAAGCAACGAAAAAATAATTTTTTTTATCAATTAATTATAATATCTTAGTCGTAATATATTATTATTTAACACTAATATGTAATACTATTTACATGCCATAAATACGTACGTAATCATATCAAAAGGTTATTTGAATATTGTCAAAGGAATAATATCCAACAGGTGTAGTAAAATACTTAAAAAAAATTGAACAAAAATTGACACAATTATTTTACATAATAATTGTTGTATTATTTTTGAACTTGAAAAATAAGTTTCAATTTTTAGAAATCTAATGAATAAAGACTATGTTTTTATTTATTGACTAAGATCCTTCATAATGTTGTAAACTAAAAATATTAATTAATTTCGCAGTTTGAAAAAAAAATGGCTTTTAGTTTTATAAGCAGTATTAATGATCAGACTATGTCCTCTATACCTAAGTGTAAAAAAAAATAACCAGTTCACATAGATTCAAAACATTATCGTTAAAACATCCAATGTTAAGTTTATTATATACTACATCATAACTTAAAAGTTAAAACTATTATTAATCATAACCATGAAACTTCAACTAACATTTAACTGAAGTAAATAATTTTACGTAATGGTAAGGCTGTACATATAATATTATTAATATTATGTTTTTAGTTTCATCACGAAAGATTGCGAAATTGTTTCGTTTCAATAGAAGTTCTTAACTGGTGGCCAACAATAATATTCAGCATACCAAACAAATGTAATATAGTTTACTGTCTTAAAATTGTTCGAAGGTTTGTATTTCAAGATATCCATAATGTATAAACAGTATTTACCAATTTTTGGTTCGTTGGGTGCGGTTTTAATTAAACCATGCTTCGAGTATCAAATATCCGATGTACTTCACACATTTCCGTGAATTATTATTAAACGTCTATTATCTAAACATATTAATACTATTTAGTATCCACCCCGAAAATATCGAATCTACAACAAATTATTTGAACTAGTCATTTTTGGTCTGCAGTTTTAAATTAATAAATGTGAAATATTTTATTTGAAATTCGCGTGGTTACAATAACCAAATGCATTATTAATTATTATAATTTATGAATTTTTTGTAGGCTTTGACAACAATAATTGTACATCATCAGTTAGT